ACTATTGCCTTAAGTAATGGAGTATGGGTGACTTCATTTATGCACATAGTTGGCCTTTTTTAGTTTTTCCAACTAAATCCCAATGATCACCCTAATTATGCAATATGTAGCACATTCTGGTGTCACAAGAAAGGGCAGATTGTGACAAGTATATTGATATATAATGTCTCCAGAAAATTCTAAACACAAATAAGAAACTGATCAAACGAAATATGCAGTCCTCATTTTCAAACGCGCTTTTTACAGATAGGTTATTGACGACTTGTCATGTAAAAGTAATATCTCTTTTTCCAACTGGTTGATGTCCACTGTCGTATATATTTTTCTAGAATGGAAAAAGAAGTAAGTGTATACTTTTTTTTGTCTTCATATCATCAAATCATTTCTACTCAAGAGTGTTCCATGTTTCCTTTCAATAAAAACTAATCAAAAAGGTGAAATGGCAATCATCCTAGATGGTGTGGGAGTATAGATGCAACCAACAATTTCTTTACCAACACTGAGCCTTGAAATTGTTTGGTTATTTTAGATCAAAATATGATAGATAAGTAAATAATAGTTATTTTTAATTTTGGTCTATTGTTTGCACAATTAAGAGAGAGTTCTTTATGTTTTTACTCTCTCATCACAAGTGCAGTGCATGAATGTTTATACTACCATCAGGCTGAGAAAAAGTTTGACGAATAGGCATTATATGTGAATACTCGAAGTCTATATTAAAAAAATTAAAATTCATAATTTAGTAAGATAATGAATCGTTGACGTTGCAACGCTGTAAAAGGAGAAAAATAGTATTTTCCCATATAGACATTGCAAAAGTTTTTTTGCATTATTCACTTGATTAACGCAAAAATAATTTTTTGTTTTGATGACATGGGTTGTTAGATGTGGCGTGGCGAATTAAAAGATAGGATGTAGGAACAATTTTTTGGGAAAAACTTTAGATAAATATCAAAATATCATTATGCATCGACGTTTCTACTTTTATCTACTTTGACATACAAACATCAAAAGTAAGTGGAAGTAATTAGAAACAAATCTAGGGTAAGTTCTCGTTTCTCTTTATTATAAAACCGAGGACTTAATCTAGATTAAATGTAGTCTAGATTAGAGGTACGAAAGATATAGCGATTATATGACAAAGAAATAAATTCTTAAAGTTATTGAAATCGATCAGCATCCCGTTCCCATACCTTTTTACATTCCAGAACCTGTGAGAGCGTCATCCTCACCTCTTCTAAGGTTCCAATGTCTCTATGTTGTGTTAAAATCTAAACAATCTTTTTCTCGTAATCTGTCCGAATGTAAGATAGTACAATAGATCATACATCGCAGGAAAAATAGTAGTTAAATCTAAACATTTTTAGTTTTACATAACTGCAATATTACAATCTATTTATTCCTAAATGAATGAATTAAGATTTTTTTGTCCTATTTGTCTTCTATGTGTGATAACTTATTTATGCAATTGCACAAATCTTTTTCAGATATTATTTAACGGCAACCAATTAATTATTCTTACGCTTAAGTAGACATGAATAGTTAACGGAGAATGATAAAAATAAAAAAAAAGAAGAGAAGAGAGCACCCACCCATTTTAGATCATCTTCGGAATAATTATTCGCGTCAAATGGAAGAAATCTCAATCCTTTTTCTATAAGTGTTTCTTAACTTAACAAAAGAACTGAAGAATAGAGAGTGACGAGAGAGTGGAAAGAATGATTTTATCGAATATGTATTTTAAAATATACACTGAAAATGATATAGGCAAAATTAAATAAGTGGGACGATTCAAAAAGATTATATCATCACATCTATATTTTATACGACTAATGGCTTCGAATAAAAATAAACGATCAGATTTTATCAGTAATATATACATATGAGAATTATTTGAATAAGGATTATCATCTTTTACAGAAATTGTATAGGATAATTGTCTTCATTTTTAAAGCTGGTCAAATATTTTTTGTTACATTTTTACTTATTATTTATATTACGTTCCACTGAAAATAGGAAAAATTTAGCATTATATATACCTAACTTTAATTATAACACGATTTTATAATGAACAGCGAAAAGAAAAGGCAATTTGCTTTTATATAGGTATGTGTGTGTGTGAAAATAGAATATAAACGTTAATATAGTCAAACTAGTTTATTCTTTTTTTTTTCTTTTATTTTAGAACTGCTACTTCATTGTTGATCTCTGCTAATCTTGTGACTCTTGTCCTCTAGCACTATACAAGCAGAAAAAGAGCGAGAGAAAGAAAGAATGAGAAAAAAATGAATAGGAGCTATCTAGTACTGTAATAATCCATGGCGAAGAAAAAAAAAGAGTTCACTATTGCACACACACACACACATTTTTCCTTTCTTTTTTACCCCAAAATATCTAATTCTAAATAATTCTCTCTGTCTACTGAACTCGTATGAAAATGGCCAACAGGCTCTATTCATCAGTGTTCTAGAAATTAGATGTGGTCCGATCTCTCTCTTTCTCTCTCTCTCTCTCTCGCTCTTTCATTATTTGCAGCAAGGTTTTTCTCTTTCTCTATCGAGTATTAGACCGTTATTATTAAGATTGCATGTTTTCCGTCTTTGTTGCGTCCTCTCTCTCTTTACTCTAATTTCTTTTTAGGTCGTAATATAGAAGAAAAAAATAAGAGAAAACCATTGATAATATAGAAATTTACAGATAGACCAGAAAGAACAAGTCTTATGTATTTATTCATGAACAAGTTAAATTATGGACATTGCTGAGAGATTGGCACAGACAAAAAGACGACGATGACTATTATGAATGGTGTGTGAGAATGAAGTCCCAATGGTAGTAACAAACAACGAGAAGAAGAAAAATCAACGTTTGTGCTATTGAATGATACACTAACACAATATACACAATTATATATTCACAGCAAGATCTCTCCTGTTTCTTGTTGTATTTGTTACTTATACTGTACATGTGTATTACCGGATATATTAGTTGATGAAAACAGCGTATCAACTTTATTGTTGTATCATTTGAGAAGAAATAAAATAGAAGAACAAAGAGAAAAAGGGAAAAAAGAAATATTAGAAGATCTTTATCAACGACTAAAACGTCTTTATAATCAAATCAATTTGTTATAACAATAATTTATCAATTATTATTACCACGATCATTATAAATGAAGTAAGTATACTTGTAATTATTACTCTTAAAACCATTGTATTCTATTGAGAAAGAATGGACAGATAATGTAAGGTAAGTATTAAATTAACAAAATATATTATTTCTATAAGAATATCATATTTCTGTTGAAACTAGAGATTAAAAGTCAAACTAATAAAATAGAATACCACCACTCTACTCTTCTACACAGTTTTTTAAATCTTTTTACATCTTGTCATCCAATGTCTAGAGAAACTAATTTCTGATTGATATATTCGCTTGAATTTTTTTTCTCTGGCAAATGATGGATGTTTTATGTGGCAAAAACCGAACTCATAAGTCTTTATATCATGTTTAAGTTGATATGAGATTAATAAATTTATTTTTTATGAATGTAAATAAAAAATCATTTTTTACTTGAATAAAATTATTTTCTAGAAATAAAATGATGATTTCTTTGTACATATTACTAAAAATGGCTAAGATATGACACGAAACAACTACTGACATTGTAGTATAATTAACAGATTATATAATACTATTCAACAGTATCTCATACAGAATATATGTGGTGAAATAATATTAAATCATAGCGATAAATAATCTCACTTATATAGTAACTATTATTAATGTCATAAACAGTTGAGATGAAGTAGTTCAAATTTACTAATCATGTATATTATTTCTTTAATCGTCAGGTCAAATTAGATAGATATCTTTTCTCCTTCGCATGAACCAGAAAGATACATGAAAAGTATCTGATAATGTCACAGTTGATTGATCGTTGATTATTATTGTTCAACGACGGAAAAATTTTTCTCTCCCCATTTTCTTGCATTCATAATAGCCGGAAGCAATCCTCACGCGAATGCCATAGGTATTGATATACATACATTCTCATTTAATTGTGTCTATTTTACTCGTCTGTATACAATACAAGAGAGTTATCGGCGTTTATGAGAGAGAGAGAGAGAAAGAGGTAATGTTAATAAAGTATGGGTTCTGTTAAAAAAAATTAACACATTATAAACAATGTTTATTGATTTCATCATAATGAGACAAACAAAAAGATTATTGTCGAATGATTTTTTTGTCTGTCTACAACCCGGAAGCGTTAATATAAGAAGGAAAAAAATAAGGGTCATTCGAACAGGTGGTGGAACTAAATGGTCAGTAAAAAAAACAAAAAAAAAGAAAAAAAAAAGAAAAGAAACCAATTCAATTTTTTTTATGATTATTTTTTTTTCTTCTGCTAGGCGACAATCGAATCTAGATTTTTATTCGTATTTTATTATACGCTTTGTTAGTTCCGTCATAATAGAGTTTATACGCGTTCGACTGGAATTCATTGATCATTTTAGATATTTCATATGTCTACAAATACAAAAGTAATAAAGTATTAACCTGCTATAGGCAAACGATGTATTGGCACAATATTTTAATATGCTCTCTCATATCACAAATCACTTTTTAAATTATTTTTCATTTTTTTTTTTCTAATAAGAAAATTAAGTGTGAAGTTAAACGGAAAAGTGAACATCGTATTTTAGACAATAAATTAACTATACTAATCTATTGCACTCATAACATACAGATTTCTATGTTACAGAAAGACCTTCGGTTTTGCAATTATGTGTTCGCGTGTTTAAATAATGCCTATACTATTGTAGTGATCGCTAAATAAGAAGAGGACAAAATAATACAAGAAAAATAGTTTATTATGATTCTAATAAAAGCGGACAGATTTTCTTATTGTTTTCTTTTTTTTTTTTAGTTATTTTAGCCAATCATCGACAAAAAATGAGATAATTAAAAAAATCTTCCATTTAATGTTTGTTTGATGATATATGGATATATTTGCTATATTAAGAAGATTACCAGAAATCGTTGCCTATAATAAATTCGATGATGACATATACGACAGATTAAATTATGCTCATACGGTGGTCATATTAACGGTGTTTGCCATTATTGTTACAAATAGACAATTTAGTGAAAATCAAATCAAATGTTGGGTACCAGCTCAGGTGAGATGAGATAACATTATTTTACCTGTATAATGAATAGAGTTAATTTGAAATTAACAGAATAAAATAAGAGTTGAAATTCTATTACGTATACTTTTTTAGTTTACGGGTAATTATGAGTCGTATGTGAATCAAATATGTTTTATAACAAATACCTATAGTTTTGATATGCATGAAACGATACCTGAAGATGATCAATTACGCCATGAACATGAATTAAAATATTATCAATGGACACCATTTATCTTGTTATTAATGGCCATACTATTTTATGTTCCTCATCAATTGTGGCGTGGTTTAAGCTTGAGAAGTGGTGTGGATCTTAAAGATTTAATTGAAGCAGCAAGCAATTATCGTTCGTCAGCATCACGTCCAGCTGATAAAATTAAATTATTAGATTACATTTGTAATTGGGTAAATGGGTACTGTTCAAATGCTTATCGGACATCGATACGTAATGTCCACACCTTTCAACAACATTCCGAAAAGAAACAACATCGTTATACAAAGATAATTAGACGAGTTAAACAGGTACTAAAATATTTATTGTTCCCAGTTGGTATTTACACAGGCAATTATCTCGTTATCAGTTATTTATTTATTAAATTTCTCTATTTTCTTAATTCAATTGCGCAAATTCTTCTGTTGAACGCACTACTTGGAAGACAATTTTGGTATTATGGCATCGAATTAATTCATCGATATTTGACAAAACAAATTGGACTTTTATATACGGGTTCAGAATATTTTCCAAAAGTTGTACGTATATACATACTTATTAACAATAGGAGAGTACTTTAGTGAGAAACTTGTTCGACTTCTGTTAAGATAAGATTTTGCTATCATTTATTTAAGATCTTAGATAAATTTTATTAGAATCGTAAAATCTAAAAATTCTAAAGTTTATAAAACTTTTCTAAAATCTTACCAAAATATAGATTGCTTTGTCTAAGATTTTTTAAGATCCGTTGAAACTCTGTTAAAGTCTCACTAAGGATTATTGTGTTTTTTAATAAGGATGATTCATCGTTTACTAAAAATTTCTGAATGTCTTGGTCAAATGCTGATAAATTTCTTTTATAAAATTGAGTTCTAGTTTGAGTCGGCTGTCCTGCAGTGTTAAAAATTGTAGTCGAGCAGACCTGTAGAACGAAGAAAATTTGATATTTTTGGGCGTCCATTCCTGGACATTAACTTTCAGGACATACTCTCGTAAAAGTTGTTGAACATTCTCAGAACAAACACGAACGAAGTCGTGAAGAAAAATAATACTGTAATATAGACCTGCGACAGTTCATAGTTCCTTGTACTTTAGTTTCTCGATAACGCGAACTGTTTTTCAGTTTACGTTCCTGAACTAGGAACGGCTCAGCAGTTGCGAATGGAAACTGCAGTTCTTTTTGAACTGGAAATTGCTCAATATCCTTTAGTGATTTGTTGATAAATTATGTATTTCATTTCGAGAATACAAAATTTTGAAAGAGTGAGCACTGGCAAGAGATATGCTCAAAGATAGTCCTATATTAGACGGAAGACTTTGCTGATTGAATTAGTTTGTTACTTCTTCGCAAAATGCGGTATGTTATTAACACCAGCAAGAAAAAAAACACCAACTTCACTTTTAATAATTACGGCTATTAAACAAGAAACTTCTCTTTACTCAGTGATATCTAAAATGAATTATGATTTATTTTGGCTAGAATATGGTTACAAGCTACCATTATTATCAACATTGGTTAAAATGTGTCTAGCAATACCAGCTACAAGTGTAGCTAGCGAAAGTACATTTTCGCAAGCTAAGAATTTTATAATGAAAAATCGACTATCACTAACTTCAGCAACAACGAGAATGTCTATATTTTTGAAAGACAAAGTATGAATGTTGGTAGTTTTTATTATTTGATTGTTAGTATCTCTGTGAAATGTTATTCAGAAGCACGCACATAAAGGAACGACATCAAATAAACGGTCGGATTCATATTGAACCGTAAAATGCACTAACATGCTAAACGAGATAGAATGCTAGTAGATTAGAAAAAGAAGCTCAAGTATATCATACAGTTTCCAGTTAAAGAAGAAGTTTAGCTCCTGTTCGTAGGAACGGAAACTGAAAAACAGTTCTCGTCCAAAGAACAGGAACTACGAACTGTCACAGGCCTACTGTAATATCGATGTTACATTCATATATGAATAAAAACAAAACAGAAAGATAAATGTAAGTAGAATCGTCAAATCTTAAATAAAATCTTAGGTTATCTTATCAAAATCTTAAAATATAAGATCTTATACGATCTTAGTAAGATAGTTTTTAGAAGCGTCTTAGATTTTTACTAGAGATAAATGCGATATAACAATAGAATGCCACACTCTTATCATTTTCAGAACTGATAACAGGATTGCACGCTATAAATACAATACTGATTAATATGATGAAAAGACTCATTATCAACTGCCATAGTTAGCAGTTTTAATAAATGCAATCTTTTCTTGCAGGTTTTATGTGACTTTAATGTTCGCGAACCGAATCATCCAAAAGAGAGTCATCGATATACCGTGCAATGTGTGCTTCCGTTTAATTTATTCAATCAGCAAATATTCACCTATTTATGGTAAGCATTTGATAGCAGATATTTTCAAGCGGATAAATCTTTTGTTCGTGGTGTTTAGGTTTTGGCTTGTTTTATTATCTGTATTTAATGGTTTTTCGATAATAATCTGGCTGTATCGTATGTCACCATTCAATAATCTTCAATATCTCGAACGTCGTTTACCAAAATTAGATGAAGCTGAAACACGGCACGTGTTCGTCTATCAATATTTACAAGGTGATGGTACATTCATGTTACGTTTAATAGCGTCGAATGTTAGCGATTATGTTTGTAATAAAGTTGTTTGCGAAGTTTATAAAACATTTAAAGCTGCCTCTGAATCTGGGACAGCTGAACAGCAAACAATTACAAAACGAACAAAAGCGCTGGATGACAACGATTTAGATGACGATCGCGAACACAAATCTCATCCACCATCCGAAAGTCAACGAAGTTCTACAGAGAGTGGTGGTGATCAACAACGTCGAATAGATCGACCCATTTTTACACGATCTGTAGGATATTTACCAACAGAAAATGCGAATGTTGAACATTCTTCATCAACAATGGAGAGTGGACGAGAAATTTTAAAACCGTTACCAGTTCCACGAACTGGAAAACTATCTATCGAACGTGAAACGATTGTTCCAATGTTATCTAGCTCAATAACTCATTCGCCTTACTTCAGCTCGTCTGAATATAGTGATAATTCTGACAGTTTAGATGCAACAAGAGTTCCCTACAGTACCATTCAACCACGAAAAGACGAACCACAATCCACTCCAAAACTGAGGCATCGAAATGGAACACCGCTTAAACAAGATGAATCCCCGACGGATGACCAATCATCAATAGGTCAAATTCGTCGTATGTCAGATACTCAAATAGATCAAAATAATAAGAAAAATGTTGAATTTTATGTTGATGCTTCTACTAATATTGCTGCTACTAACATACAGCCACCTATACAGCCTTCACGTACAACGATACCTACACCCTATGCCACAACATACCTTTCATCAAAAACAAAAAACTTATCAATACGTAGTGACTCTGAAATGCCTTACATTGATGATAGTATCGCCAGTTCCTCATCTGCTCGATCAACAACATTAGCTACTAGAACAAGTATACAAGAACCTCAACGAATCATATCATTTCCAGGTTTTACTCGTAGTCATGATGTGTGAGTGAATGAATCTCAGGAGAACAGATATCGATCAACAAGAAAAAGTCCATCAGGCCACTGAATTTTTTTTTTATTTTTCAAATTTGTGACACAATGATATTTGTTTTTTGTTGCTTTACTTTGCTTTATTTCTATTTTTGTAAAAAAATCTTATTAGACTATAAAGAGTATAATTTGGCGGCTTTCAGGGATTGAATGTTTCGAACTCATACGCACCAACGTATACGTAAATACTTGTTCTCAGAACAATAAACGCAAATCACTCGTTAAGTAATATTGGAAGACCTTTAATTATTGCTCTCTCCAGATCAACTAACATTTGTTTGTTCTATGTTTGATTCATTGTAGATGACCGTTACATCATTAAATAACGGATGATGTTTAAACAAACAATTGAGTGATAAACTTTTCAAAAATAGAAAAATGGCTTGACAAGTCAGTTTTATTTTCAGCGTGAATCGATCTACTAGAGCTGCAATGACTTCACATTCATTTTTGATCAAACGTCTTATTACAATCATTTTTGGTTGGTTTAAATTCTACCCTTAACGCCAATTGTTGATTATTATTTTCCTTAATAGCCAAAATTATGTTTGTGCATATTCGACATAAATCGATGTCTACGCAAATAATCACAGTCTATATGGATATTCTATTGACTAAATGTCAAACAGATCATTACTGTTAACATTCACTTTTATTGGATGTAATGTCTAGAAGCATTGGCTATTTTTTAATTTGAGAGTACATGATGCAGATCAAATATAGATATTTCGATATTGCCAGTTACGGTCAATGAGGGAGCTTCTCGGGAATCATAACGAGTTGCTGTCGTCAATGGTACGGATTTTCTTTTCATTCATTACCAATAATCAAATCTAATTTTACCATCATACTCTGCCTCTCGTAACAGAGTTCCAAAGATTAGCTATAAACATACCACTCAACTTCTTATCTCTCTTTTCATTTTGTGCAACAGTCTCACGGCAATTCCCGTTGCTTGAACTGAACAGATCAATATTCTTGTTCGAAAATAATATGCTTACTTAGATGAAATGTCACAATAAAATACACGAATTTGAAAAAAGAAAAGTTCGTGATTTTTTCGCATACTTTTCTCTAAATCACAAAAATTCGTTATATCACCCACTGGGTAATTTTGGCTAAGCATGTGGACATGTTGTTTTTAAGTCGTCGAAAATTATTTGAACCGTTTTTCTATACGTTATCATGTGTGCTCTATCCATATCTATGGAATGGTTTTAGAGTTTTGAAAAAGATTTCCAAGAGGCTTTGCAGAGATCCGGTCTCTGGAAAACCATTTAGAAAAGTCTTTTAGAATTCAAAAACCACTTCGTTGGATAGAGCATCGTCGAAAATCTACAAAAAAAATGTTTTAGGTGCAATCATGTTTTGCTTTCTTGAATTTTTAATTTTCAGACAAAAATCTATCTACTGATGTCAGAATCTCAAAAATCAATTACGTTCAAAAGTATGTGTCTTAGATCAGATAAATTATACACCATTCGACGCAGTTTGTCACGCTGAGTTCGAATATGTATAAATTGTCAAGAAAACATTGGTTTTTCGAGGTGCAACTTGGGAAATACAGCGAAAAACCAAGGGATTTCAGAACGCCTATAATTCCGGTTCGATAGAGGTTGATTTGCTCTTTCAGAATATGTATAGTTGATTCGGTGTTAATCTTTTTCCTTTCTTTGGTGCAATGTGTTTTCCCCAGAGGTCGCTCAAAAATAGCCGTTTTTTGAAAATGGATTTTTTGACAAACGTTAAGAGTTAGAACAAAAAAAATTTCATCGTTAAATCGGTCCTTAGCCAAAGTATATGTGGCACTATTCAATCACGTTACTTTGGAGATGGGACCACAATGCAAGTTGGAAAGCATTTGTTTTTCCAAAAAATGTAATTATTCAATTTTGTCTGATAAACTCTTCAGTAAAAAGCGAGCAAATTCTCAGAAGTAAACGAGATAAAATACCGTTGAAAAATCGGCCGGTTGACTATCCATACTGGTCTTGTCCGGTACCGATCGGACTGATTCTAGCTCTGATCTATCGTTTCGATCATTTTAACATACAACGCGTAGTGATTTATTTTTTGATCGGTCAATTGTTAGATAAGGAATATCACGCTGTTTATGGTTACTATAGAAGAATTGACTTATGTGCTCTACACTAAATCTTATATGTTGAATTTATCTTCGATTTCTATCAATTCATTTTCATTATGGCAACGATTCTATGTAAAACCGAGCTGGAAACTTCAGGTTGACTACAAAAACAAAACGCTGTTTCATACCATTAAATTTTTGTGAAAATCAATTAATATTAATATTGAAAATTCAACACCAGAATAAAGAAAATACATCACCCATAGATTATACGCCAATATGATACGATATGAATTAAACAACTTTTGGCAAACACAACGTCTTGTTGTATTTGCCTTGTTGTCTTGTCTCAATAACTCAAAAGTTTAGTCCACTTTGCTTTTTTTCGTATACTCCGTGGATAAACATAAAACTTAAACGATTCGATAGAGAATTTTATTTTGATAAAAGAACGGTTCTGTCATAGTCTCAAGTTTTGACATTCCCTAGTGAATGTACTTGAGATCAAACACTTAGCTACTTGCAAATTTTCGCAAGTACTTACCAGGTTACCTGCCAAATACTTAACGAAATACTTATCTAGTACTTGCACTTGTTAAATTACTTGATAAGTATCTTTTTTACTTGCAAAAACCTCCAGATACTCTGAACATTACTTACCCAAGTACATTGAATAGGGTTGCTATTGAAAATTTACGTTAAAATTCTTAAAAAATTTTAAAAGCATAACATTTACTGAGATAAATACCAGCAACATGCTTTTCAGCTACACTATTTAAAGGAGTTTACAAAACTTAAACTGGTATTTCAGAATTTTAATAATTCACCTAATTTGGCTAATATTTCTGACATTATCTACCTCAATTTGGTTCAACAAAGTAAGAGGTACATCACTTAATCTCATCACACACAATGAAAAACCGAGTTTTCTGGAAAACTGGTGAACGGCAGTAGTTAAAAACTAGACATAAAAACGAAAAAGTGCTCCATTGAGTTTCCAATCAGTTCTGAAAATATGAAGGCTTAGTGACTTTTAGTTTTTATTTCACAGTATTTCTACGGAAAGGCCAAAAAGAGGGGAGGTGTATCCTTAAGCAGAGAAAAAAGCAGCAGAAAATAATGCCGCAATATAGAAAATCAGGCAAAAAGTTGTATCAAAATAAATAAGAGGGAAAATAGTTTTGTAAAATAAAACAATATCGCCACATGAGTAATACCGGCGACAGAAAACGAACGAAAGAGTAGAACAAGACAAATTAAAGAGGAAAGTGTGTTTTGATCACCAAATTTCTTTCTATCGAAATGATCACCAAAAAAACTACACGTTTGATCACCAAATCAATTAAAGAACATTTAAATTAAAGAATATATATATAAGTAGAATATATAGCAATTAATTAGCAATGATTACTAATGAGTAGACAGACAAGAAAAATAATATAAAGACAATTTAATTTATTAATATACAATTGAACAGAAAGAAATATTATATATACAAATGAACATAAGAAAATAATGAAACAAAACTTTATAGCAACAAAGCTGTTCGAACTTTTTTCGGTTGACCTTTACCTTTTCGCTTACCTAATGGTTCATAACGAGTTTTGTCACTAATTTGATACATGTTAAAGAGAATGGCTAATCCGACTTCACCGATTACGTGGTGTTCATGTCCCGTTGGTCTCAAACAATATGCATGCAAACACTCCGTTGGATTAGCCATTCTCAAGGTAGTGACAAAACTCGTTATGAACCATTAGGTAAGCGAAAAGGTAAAGGTCGACCGAAAAAAGTTCGAACAGCTTTGTTGCGATAAAGTTTTGTTTCATTATTTTCTTATGTTCATTTGTATATATAATATTTCTTTCTGTTCAATTGTATATTAATAAATTAAATTGTCTTTATATTATTTTTCTTGTCTGTCTACTCATTAGTAATCATTGCTAATTAATTGCTATATATTCTACTTATATATATATTCTTTAATTTAAATGTTCTTTAATTGATTTGGTGATCAAACGTGTAGTTTTTTGGTGATCAAAAAAATACATACCCCAAATTAAACAACAGAAGCGATAAACACGTAAATCTAGAGAAGCAATATATGTGTAAATCAGAATACAATAAAATGTCTAGAAAAATGATTTCTAAAGTTGATCGTTATGAATATTACTATGTATACAAGTTTGAGCTCGACATCTTTAACTCTGAGAACGTGTACATTAACCTGTTTGTGCCTGAAATTTTTCTGAGAGTTGAAGAACTTGCATTGTGGTCCCATCTCCAAAGTAACGATCGTTTAAACGATCATTGGGCGCAAACAGACTAAGTACGAGTACGGTTGTATTGGGTGATAAAAAAAACACTTACCCCTTTTGTAATGATTTTTCCATAGCTTTAGAATTCAATTTTTGATCCGATTCTTTTTGCGATAGAAAGAGCTAAAAAAAGAGCCACTAAGGAGAGCTGTTTATATTTTTGAAAAGATTTCACCCTAAGCAGAGATTACAAAAGATTTATTAAATATGAAATCTGGGCTGGAAGAAAAATGGTCTTTGCTGTTTTTCAACTTGCCTATAACAATTGAATAACTGAACGACGAAACACTATTTTGACTGTAAAGTAGGGTGGAAAACCCTGTTGAAACCGGTCCATCCTCAGAACTCAGATGAGATCCCACTCACGGAAAGAAACTGAAAAATCGCCTGTGGGAGACCGCAGGTGTTTTTTTGACGACAAAACAAAAGTTTTGCTAAAATCACGAACAGCACATCATTCGACTTAGCTTTTAGTGCTGATTACAAATTTCTCATTCAAAACGATTCTTGATGGCAAAAATTTGCATTTATTTCCAAAATTATATTGATTTTGAGTTATGTTGAACTTATTGTCACGATTTCCTCATGATCTCAAACGTTTAACTCAATTATTTATACATATTCTTGTAGCTCTTTCCATGAGCTGTTCATTACACTAGGAATGGTTTATCATTAAAGCTCTAATAGTAGAGAAAAAAGCGAAATACCGTGACAGATAGTGCTTAAAACTTAGATCCAGAGTGGCATTTTTTATAAAAAATTACAGTTATTTTTACTGTCAAGGATCTTTCGCATATATTCCTGATCAATTTGTCAAGCTCTATCGATTATTATATTTAAAAAAAGTTCCATCCTCATTTCCTATCGAAGGTAAATTATTAATTGCAATTCAGTGTTAAAAACTTTAGTAATTTATTATAATTTATTTCTCCAACAAAATGCATTTCGAAACTCCGAAGAATATGAAAAACTACATAAAATTGAATTCTCTATCGATCTACATCGAAATTAAAACATTTTGAGGAGGGACCGATTCCTACAGAATTTTCCACTCCCTCCTTTCCAGAATTTACTTATACGTGTTCACAGCTTAAGTGACATATAATGCATTTGGAATTATTGAATTATAATGGTATTATATAATAATATTATAGAAATGTTCATACAACAACAGTATTCCATATTTTACATAAAAAGGTGTGTGGTATGAGTTTCGCTATTTTAACACTCGAATTAGCTTTAATCACGATCAGTTATGTTCGGTAGATAGTGCTTTTAAATGGCCACATAAATATGGCTACATGATTAATAAATTTTTCTTTTTAATAAAAAATAGAGTAAAGTATAATGAAGAGGCATATAACATTACCCCAATGGGGGTACCCAAGTCTGAACTTGGGTACTGGGTTTGGGGTACCCAAGTCTAGACTTGGGTATTAGGTTTGCCCTTGGTCAGTTGTCAAAAGGCCATTCTTCTTCTCCTTCTTCAAGTGCAACTTATACGTAGTAACTTTTTGCCACACATGATGAAACGCAACATAGAATAACGACGCATAAAGAATTCGGTGCCGGTGAGAACAAAAATCTGTTCTTTTTATAAAGGCTTTTTAATTTCGAAAAGTACTGTCAGCTAAAGTCTGTTCTGTACATGTATTTAAGACACTGAAAAATTCGATGATATTCGCAAAATAAATAGCATAAAAGAACTCAACTTTTTTAGACATTTCACCTAATTTAAAGAAAGTTCTTATCATTACCATCTTGCACACGTATATCCACAGGACGAAACAAAACACTGCATATTCTATTGTCAGATGGACTACCATGAAATAAAGTATCGTGCTAGGCTCTTATTAACCCAAATCCAACACAACACCAAACCCAATACCCAAGTCTATACTTGAGTACCCCAAACCCAAACCCAATTCTTTTGTTGGGTTTGGGTTTGTAACATACCTAATTAACACTAAGTTTGGAAGATAGTGTGAAAATAAAAATATGTTTAAGAACACAACCAAGAAATTATGCAAAATTCTTTTTGCCTAAAATACTAGGAACTCTACAACCACAACAAACTTCAAGCTAACAGCGATTGTCTTACAGCGTCTTTTTTGCTTCATGGTGAATATGTGCCGTTTCATAGACTTCATATTAAATAAATCTTTTTTAATCTTAGCTTATGGTGGAATCTTTTCAAAAATGTAAACAGCTCTTGCTATCGCAAAAAGAATCGAATAAAAAATTGAATTATAAACCTATGAAAAGACCATTACAAAAAGTGGTAAGTTTTTTTGGGCCATCCTCTACGAGTTCAATTGATTAAAACTTACCTAATTTGTACTAGTAATATGATTGTGAGTGTCAGGGTGATTCAATGAATGTTGAACGATCTCTACTTGTTCATTAACTCATACAGTTCATACTAAACTATTACTCTTCCGTCTTCCAATACGTTTACATTGGCTCTTATACTGAACGTTGAACAATGTAATTTTTAATGTTTTCATGTATTATGAGCGATTAAAATAATAACCATGTCAGTTTAAGTTGTGTGTGTGTAAATAGGGTGCACTATTATTTCCATTTTCATTTATTTGTTTATACTTAATCATCTGCAATATCATACGACTTTCTAAATGTTGTTCTCAAGTTAACAAAAATGGAATTTTGAAAAATGAAGCTTTTTGTAGAAGATATATGATTTCTTTTCGAAAGGTTACACAAGATCGTACAATAGCTCATTTTGTAGAAAAATTTCTGCTCTACAATTATGTATTACAATAAAAAAAAATTCAAACCAAGCTGCTCCATCTGCATTAAATGTTTTAAAAAGCTCTTTTTTTTCTTTCTACAAGTGAAATTGCGTAGCATGCTAGAAAAATATCTGTAACTTCAAAAAAAAATATCCTGTAAAATTTCTAAAGGGAAAAGCTTAGAAAATGTCGATTCTAAAACTTACGTTTCGATTCGAAAAAATATTTTCTTAATAGAGAAATATGAGTATATATATATACTATTTATAATTGTTGCCAAATTTATGTAGTACGATGATTTATCGATTTCCCGGAATCTTATAAGATCTTATAGGATGTATAGAGATATTTAATTGAAAATTTTATCCATAAAGAATATTTTATTTCTAGAGAAAAACATGAATGAAAAAATATTCCATTGAAGATACAAACTGAAAAGTGGTTTAAATGGTTTGTTTTTCAGTGAAAAGCAATGCTGTTGATGTAATAAAACATGAGATTTCACGTACTTAAAATGGTTATATATATTTACTATTTTCTTGTCGCTCGTTTTGCCAGAGCAAGTATTAAGATTGCATATACATTTATGCATATGCATTTATGCAAAGTATATTATACAATAATATCGGTTTTTAATTTTGATTAATAAATAAACAAAATTAACCCACTGAACAATAGATTAAAATATGTTTTATCAGTCAAAACTATATGTTCTGCAGTAGCTAATAATAAAAAAATAGTGATCATATTTATTTTACAAAATCATATGTATATTTTCTTAAACCTTCAAGTCTAGGCAATTTTTGAACTATCGATGGTCAATAAATGTTGTTTTTTATTCTATTTTCAAGAGTTTTTAATTATACGCGAAATAAACTTTAACATTAATATAGAATGAGTGGGTCTACGCGTTGGATACATGAATTTTTTTTTTTCATTCTCTTCTTCCTTCAGGTTTAGATTCAGTTAAAAATGTTTTTTTACATCGTCTCCAAGGGAGATTTGACATGCAAATAAAAAACGTGAATGTGAGTTATATGCAGCAAACATTCTCAAAAATGAAACGATTTCTTTTTTCTTTTCTCTCTCATCTCTCAAAGAACAACTGTTTCTCAGAACAAAGAAAACTCAAAAACTGGTAATAACCTTACACATGTCAGGACAAGCGTATACCAGCTAAATGTGGTTCTTTAAGTTGGGGATGTTCGTTTTATGTCGATAAGTAAAAATCAAGTAACCATTTTTTCAACTCTTTTTCTCATATTTAGATCTGTGCGGACCTGTATCTCAAGTGTCTTACACGTAATTAATTACCGATAAAAGTGATCTAAAATGACTCGTATGGCATTTGATACTCGTACGCAAAATGCGTGGAAAGAACTAATCGAAAAAGAAGCAATGACACGCGTTCAATGGCATCAAACATTTAAACCAGAAGATAATGATGAAGAATGGTTTAAACGTGCTTTCTATACTCAAAAGAAGCCTTCTCATAATGCCTTACCAACAATTGTCTTTCCACCACGTCCAAAAAAACGATATGATCCAAATGACACTATGGATGAATTAGCAAAAAAATTAGATGTTGAACATAATCCTGATGTACTAAAAGAAATGCATCCGGTATCAGAAAATTTGAAACAAGTGCTATTCGACGGATTTAGTAAAGAGGAAAAAGGACGTTATAAATATTTAAATATTCGAAAACAAGAACAACCTGAACATAAATTTCAATATCCAATTACATCGACAATGGAATATGGATGGAAATTAAGTGATAGTGGTCAAAAGTTTAAAGCTCCAACACATGCACGTGGAAAAATAGTTGAAGAATCATTTTTCAGAAGAAATGGTGTATTCGAATTCAAATCGTAATAGTCAAAAAAAAGAAGTATATAAAACATTTACGTTCTTTTACATCTTGAATATATTTTTTTGTTTTAAGTTAATACTTCAATAGTGTGCACAATCATTTGTATCTGCGTTCAATGGGTAAACTACAATTATAGAATTAAATCATTTAAAGAGTCATCATTCCCGTATTTTATTTATTCAAAATCTACTTTGTATCTTAATAAACTTATAAAACACTAGTTAAAAGGCTCCTTAATGTTTCGTATCTATGTTTCACCCATTGAATATCTCTTACTTTTTCCCGTATTTTTCTTCGAATTACCATCCACATTGTTATGAAATTTCCAAGAAATAACACAAGAAATATCAGTGCTAAAACTTTCAACATGACTTGCCAATCTTTATTCGGTTCTGTGAATGACAACTGATAAAGTACATAGGCATTGTACAATTGAAACAAGTAGCCAACAAATAAAAATGGTACAAGAAATGAGAGGCCTCGTAACATCCATGAATGGAAACCTTCCATTGTTACAGCCATCGCATCACTGTATCCTAGAGCTCTTAAACGATAAAGTAAACCTTTTTGATAGTAATATTGAAGAACTTGAACAAAACTAATATAAAGACTAAATATATAATGTTGTTGTCGAAATATTTTGTAACTCGCTGTTGATGGCCAGATAAGAATAATACACGTACAAATGGTACTAATAAAATGATGTATTCTCCACCATGCATTGATATTCGAACCATTCACCACTAAAATTGATTCTCGAATAGTCAACGTACAATAATACCAAACCAAAAGAAAATGAAATATCGCATCTAATGCACGATTCGCTGGTATTATCAAACACATAAGAAATGAAATGATCATCAATATAAGCGTAACACGAAATTTAAATGTTTCATATGACTCTTTGTATTTATATTGATCAGCCTTATTTAAAATAGATACGGGTAGTTCACTTCCCAATATAATTCTTAAATAACGTTCCGGTGCTTGAGGTAGCGTGTATTCAATGCGTTTCAAATATGAACTTTGTTCTTTGATTAAATGTTCTCTTATAATATGTATTCTTTCTTGACGTTGTTCAGGTGTTTCACGATTGACTTCTGTTTCACGTCTAATTCGTAATAGATCAGTTTTTTCGGCTGCTGTTCGTGGAGATGATGATGAATCGGGAATAATTATTAATGATTTATTTTTATCAATCGATTTCTTTAGATTATTTATTTTCGTCTGAATTTTTTTAAATTCTTGGCAATGAGTAATTTTCAAATTTTCCACATTTTCTAATTTTTCCAAATATTTTTTATGCTTGGATTCAAATAATTCAAGTTCTTTTGCTACCTGTTCCCATTCGGCTATCAATACTTGGGCTTTTGAATCGAATTCACCAACTGAAATGGTATTACGTCTTTTACTTCTTTTAGTCGGTGATTGAGGTGTCATTATAACGCTTCACTCAGTGGCTTCACTTTTTTGTTGAAAGTAATAAAAAACGAAGACAATGCATACACACGAAAGAAAAGTACACTGTCAGGGTCTTATCTTACTAAAGCAAATAACTGAAAAAGAAAAATATTTTTTCGTATGTTTTAGTATTTTTTTCTTCTTCGTGACGTGACACATCGCTGTTTAGATCAAGGGGTACTCTCCATCACCTTTTACTTCTAGTGTATCAACTTTCAGATGCTCTAAATTTGCTCTTATTCAATTGAATTAAAACAATAAAATATACTATAACACAGCGCGCATAATTATTGAGCTCCATAAACTATACAATTGAAATCAAATCACCCTAATATCAAATCTAATGGTTATTTAACCATACTTTAAACTGATAAGCAATATCTTAATTTGAAAAACATATGACAGTTCGAAATGTGACAGCATTTTTTCACAAAATCAGTAATTTTTACGGACTATATCACCAGTGTCGCTCGTGGATGGGAACTCTCAGGCAAAATGGACGTCACGCAAAATTTCTCACGTGATTTGAACTATAGGGTACCCTTCACTTTTCCGAATAAAAGTTTTAGAAGATACTCTTTACTTTAAAGAATAAACTAAATGGGGGAAAGAACCATGGAGAAATTTTGTCGAAGTTTCATGCCGTTGGGGTCGTGCCGTTGCAACGTCAAATGCGTGTCCACGTGAGAACTATATCTGTAGGTGAACTATATCTATAGTTTCACACGTGTTCACAAGCGAGAATTTCTTTTCACATTTGTCCACACACCATTTTACGACTTTTACTAGTGACTCCATACGAAAAATATGATCAAAAAGTTTTCATAAACAGTTCAAGTGTTGTCACAAGTGGAATATATTCTTCACGTGTGCCCAGACACCATTTTACGATGTTTATGTGCGATCACAGTTCGTTTTAAGATATTCATAGGTGTACACGCCGTTTTATATACTAAAATTTAGCATTTAGCCCTTAGGGAAATTTAGCATGGGTACTTTTAACCGTTCGATGTTCCGGAGCCAAAACATGCAACTCATTCTGAATGTTTTTCTGAGCCTGTAGATAAGATAAGCATGAAGACATTTTTATTCTCCTGCCATTTCGCCTTATCAAAGTCAACTTCATTTTTTGCATTATTAGAGGTTGCTTTGTGATGCTTATGGAATCTCCTATGGTTTAGTTCAGTTATATTTCACTCTTTCAGTCATATTGTGCCATAGAAAGACGTGTTGAACATTTTAAACGAAGTTTCAATCAAAGGAATAAAACTGATGAAAATTTTAAACTGTCATTAAGTCCCATAAGCGAAAGGTCAAGATTCTTCAAACATTTTTTCTTTCTTATCTTTGAAGTAAACAAACTAGAAAAAGTATACTGATGGTTGGCCGTAGTAATATCGAAAGCGACCAATGTCGAAGGTAGAAATGTCGAAGGAAATATATCGAAGCGGAATAATATCGAAGTGAAAAAATACCGAAATAAAAAAATGGTCAAGTGGAAAAATGTCGAGAAGCTCTTTAGAAAATTCCACATATCTTTGATTTTTGGTATAATACTTTTTTTAACATAATTAACATAATAAATATGACAATAGACAACTTTTTTAACGGAAAACAATAAGAAATGAAATTTATAACAATGTTAGAAAAACAACAATAAACTACAGACGCTTACAGTCTGCGTTTACTAGTGATATCACTTTTTTCGATATTTGGTTTTCGACGTTTTTCCCTTCGATATTTTTCTTTTCGATATTTCTACGGCACACCATACTGATTAATTTGAAGAGTCACTAACTTTATTAATAAAGTAACCTGAAGATGTATGTACAATAGGACTGATGACATATTCATCAGCCTATATAATCAGATAGAGAAATCAGAATGGACTGTTCAAAATTTTTAAGAGCTGTTAAAATATCATCAAGCTTCAGTAATCTTATCTTTAAATATTTGTGCTCGTTCCAGTGCATTCTTAGCCAGTGTTATGGAACAATCTTAGAATTTTGCAGTTCGACTAACACTGCCCTAATGAAAGTACTCATAGTATGAGTGCGACTTTACTCATAATTCTTATATGAGTATTTTTCCTCAGCGAGCGAGCACCCAGTTACTCATGTGAGTATTCAGAAAATATTCATTCACCGTTTTATTTTGCGAAAATGAAACTGTATAACGAACGTAGAATTTAGTAATGAAGCATAGAATATTTGTATTACTTTTTTTTCGCTGGTCTCTGCGTGTATAGTCAGAGATGGACTCGTCTGTGAATAGACTTGTAGTTCAACTCTAGCTGCCTGAGATCATCCTTCTATATGAAAATACCAGATGAATAATACTCATGAGTATTTTGCCAAAAGTTATGTACTGTAGTATTCCATACATTGAATCCAAAATAAAGATGGTGTACAACAACAGTGGTAACGGGAAATTTGAGATGTTCCGCTCTTGAGGCTAAACGCTCTTGATAGTGTGTGTTCGAGCTTGGTTGCAGCTGTTCGATTTTCTGAAAAAGATATAGTCTAATCGATGATGTAACCAGGTAATCAAAGATTATCCAGCTTGTATATAAATTCACATAACCAGACACTATCGAATGCTGCTTTTACGTCAAAAATATGACTGCTGTATGTTGTTGTTTCGACGAATTGTCCTGTGTATATTTTTCCAGATGATGTTGTATTATTGTTTGTATTCCAGATGATGTTATTTTGTTTTTCTTCGTCCTAAAGTCTACTTGATGTTGCGATAAAATTTTTCTCCCCTTAAGATCTGTTGTTAGTTTTGTTTTTATTATTTTTTTATAAAATACTTATCCTGTGCAACCTAATAGGCTGATAGTTCTATAGCTTGATGGATCATGCTTATCTTCCTTTTCTTGTTATAAGGTGCTAAAAGCAGTTTCCCAGGTCAATGGTACATACCCACGATGAACGCTGCTATTATACAATTTAGTTAAATGTTTCATTAAGGATGGTATATAATTTTTGAAGTAACGGTTATGCACGTTATCTGGTCCGAATGATGTATTTCTCAAATGGTGTGTGGACTGATGTTTCAGTGTATCTGCTATAGTGATATCAATGTACTATACTCACTATAAACTTCACTATACTCAACTGAAATTCAATAGATAAAATTTTAAAATTCAGTCTGAAGGTTAAAGATTTTATTTGAAAAAGACAAACTGTTCGACTCAAGAGCAGCTATACAGAAATTCGCTAAAGGCGCTACTTGACAGCTGTTTTTTTGCAACGTCGTGTGGCACTCTCAGCGAATTTCTCTGTAACAGCTCTTCTTGGAATACAATCTCTGATCTTTTCAGGCTGAATTTCAAAATTTTATCTATTGAATTTCAGTTGAGCATAATGAAGTTTGTGGTGCATTGATGCCACTATAACAGATACACTGAAACATCTGTCCACAAAGCAGAATATTTTAGACGGTTTTAATTCTTTTTTGCTGATAGGTGATACTTGTTTGACCTTTTGGTGAATCGTATGTTTAAGTTGTTCTGTGGTATTTGTGACATATTCATGAAAAGGAATGTGGTCCGTTTTAGAATAGTAGGTTTCGAAATAGGTTTTTCAAAATAGGTTGTAAACATCCCAGATTCTCCTTTATCGGAAAGCGTTGTTTGAGATCGATATTTCGCTATTTTTTAATAGATTTTTTTAGTTTGTTTACTATAAAAACTATTTGACTATCATCTATACTTTTGATGTTTCTATTTTCCATGTTGCTAATAATGGCATTAGTTCTTGGAATCGTGCTGTTCTGTCATTACGAAGAGAGTTCATCAAGCAAATTTTGTATTTACAATATTGATTTTTAGCTTATTCTAAGTTTGTCTTCCACCTATACCACTGATGTTTTGATGTGAGGAGAATTTTCGCTGTTGTGCTCGATTTTAACGAGATTTCACGTAATGGAATTGTTGCTTTTAAAGGGCGTTACGATGCAGTCAATAATGAAAGTTCGAATGTTAACGGCGAATGTGTTTCAACGTTCTTGATGAAATATACTGTAGGTTGACTAGCTATTATGCAGTCGAACTTTTCTTTGTAATTTTCTCCAATGACTTGATTTTTATCTGTTGGCGTATTTACTATTTCGTGATATCGAATATTTCCCGAATCACTAATGCGCCTCCTTCTTCCCCCACCAATTATGGAATTCTTTACTATGATTTGTACATTCACCTGGACAAATGTATATTATCAATTTCTATTCCAACTTTAACGAACGTATTACGATTTTCTGCATCTGAAAATGACACTTTGACTGTTGTTCCTGGTCTTATTCTTTGTTTGTCCTGCAATCGAACAATTTTACCAGCGAAAAAAATGCTATGTTTTAATATTTCAGTCATTTCGTCTTCTTGTATCTCTGTCTCAACATGTTTTATAAATGCTTCTTCGATAAATAATAATATAAATCTGTTTCAAATTTTCTTTATTGATTGTATAATGAAGATTTTATTATTTTGTGAGTTCTCGAATTCAGAATTGTAGATATTAATACAGCAGCTAATTTAAATCTTTCTCAAATTCATTATTAGAGAATTCACTAAGCAAACTGTTGAAATTGTTCTAGATTAATTGGTTTAAATTATCTGATAATTTTACATCTGATATTTTGGTCTTTAAAATTTTATTTACTGTCTTCATGATGATTTAGCTCCTTCTAGATTTAAGGATAAAATCTTAAATTCGTCTTTTTGGGATGCGACTATTTTCGTGATTCGTAGTTGTTGTTCTTATTGTTAAATGACGTCTCTTTATTTCAGCACCTTCTTTCGTAAAAGAGTTTGTGTTCATATCTCTTGTGTTTCTGAACAATTTTTTAATAATTTTGATGGTATGATATAATTTATTCTTGTTTTTCTTTATTATATAATAATTTTAATTATTTATTTCAAAAAAAAATCTAATTTTCAATTCCATATCTGTTAATCTTCTAAGAGAAATTATACTGCATAGGCTGAGATATTGCGTGACATGTGACCGTTTGCTGCTATATCGTATAACTGTTTATCATTTATTTTGTATCATATATTATATAAAGTACTATTGTCTCTGTCTTTCCTCCTTTAAATAGTATCAAATTAACTAATGTCACAAAAACAACATGAAAGAAACAAACAAAAGGCAAGATTTACACACAGATACAAGTATGAAAGTTGGAATCAGAAAACCAATAAACAACCAATGAAATCTATCATCATAATATAGAATGCAAAGCACTGAGTAAAAAGGGAGATACAAGAGAACACTTCAAAAAAACACATACATACACAACAAGGAAAAGGAAGAATAGTACAATCATTAGATGTTTTTTTCAGTAGGTAGAAAGACCGAAGGGTGACGAACAAACGTTTGTAAAATGGGGTTAAACGCACACTCACACACACACACACACATATAAGTAATGTCATGGTACGAAAAAGAAACGTATTTACATCGATTAAAATTGTACGCAGCATAAATAGATTAAAATATTGTATGCACAGGAGACAGGGTATGTGTCATGATTATAATTAATTATTTTCAATATAAAAAAAGTATTTTTTTCACCAATAAAAAAAGAAAAAAACAGATGTGATTTAAGCATAGATTTTTGTTTGTTTGTTAGATGTATTAGATGTATAATGTAAAAAAACAACAAATTGCTGGGTACGCACTATGCGATAGAGAAAAGAAAAAAAAACAGCCACCTTTGTAATAGAAAAATAAATAGATTTTCAAAAAGAAAAACAACAGTGAGAGAAATTGCACAGTTGCACTAATCTATATTCTCAGAAACACACGCTAGAAATAAAAACACAAAATTTCTAACTGTTCAACAATAAAAAAAGATGTTTGATCATGCACATTTATGCAGCGTAGTGGTAAATATTGCAAAGAAAACAAATTGCATTTTAAAAAACATATGTCATGTGAGAGAACCCGGTATTTTTGTTCGTATTTTTTCATGGCAAGAGCATATTGCTGTGGCACACAACTTGACTAGCTCACACCGGGAAATCGTTGTCTAGTTTGTTCGATAGATATCTGAACGATGATATAAGTTTAAGTTTGTTCGACACCACCCGACGATGCATCAACTGGTTTTAATTTTAATGATATTTGTAAGGGTTTTGTGAGTTTTGATTTAACAGGCAAATATACCATACATGGAACGAATAAATCTTTATATAAATCATCATCACTTTCAACAAGAAATGGTTGCATTGATAATAATAAATCGCCATTCGTTTTTAATCCTTTCTCATCTTGATTATAATCAACTTCAGTTGAATATTTTCGATGAATACCATTTGTTAATTTTTCTCCTTGCTGTTGTTGTTCGTCTTCATTGCCGATAGAAACTGATGATTCACATTTCAATATTGCTGGTGAAAGAGACTGAGAACGTTCGGCTTTAATTATGAATGGTTTTGTTGGTGGAACAATAATAGTTGTCGTTTGAGATGTAATCGATGGTAGTGAAATATTTTGTTGAGAAGATGATGATGACTTACGATGATTAGTATTTGATGGTTTTGATGACGAAGTAGTTGAAGATGAACTAGACGATGTTGAAGAGGAAGCAGACATTAAGCGTAAATCATCGAGAGAGATATTGTGAACATTTGACATATGAGCACGAAGAAAATATTTATTACATAATTCCTAGAAATAAATAAAAAGAAAACATGAATGATTTGTTCATTTTAAAAAAAAACTAAACACACCTTTTTGCACACTTGACAAGTAACTCTTAATTGCACTTGTGGCGTCGATTTTGATTTTAAGTTGTTAGTCGATAAACGTCTCAATGATTTTATTGCAGTAGTTGAAGTTGTTGATGTTGCTTCATTATCCGTTGTTGTTTTTGCTGATTCCTGCTGTATTCCGTGAACAGTCGATAAATGAACATGTAGTAAAAATTTTGATTTAAATGATTTCGGACATAGATCACATTGGATGTCTTCTAATGCTTCATCTATACCGTTATTTCTATCATAAAAACCACTAACAGCTGTTGTCAATTCATCTGGACTTGGTACAACTAAAATGACACCCGGCTCAGCGTTTTGTTGCTGAGATTGAACTGAGACAGAATCAATATCAAATATAAGTGGAGTATTTTCATTTTCTAATTTTCTTGTGACAGGAATTTCTGGTTCGTCTTTTATCGATGGATAATCGTCATTACTGACACCATTTTCAACATTAGATACGGGAATAGATGACATAGATGGCGAGGTGACCGTAGGCAGATTAGTACTTGTCGTTGATTCGGACGATACACCATGCACTTTTAATTTGTGAGTTTTAAGGAAATATTTATTACACACTTGTTTATGGCAAATATCGCAACAAACACGATCAGCCATTTTAGCTAATATATGAAAAGAAAATGAAATTTGGTATTAGATAACAAATGAAAATCAGGATATTGATAGAATAAGCTTTTATTCAAACTACTGTATTATAAAATCATTCACCTACCGGCGAAGTATGTATCGACAATTCCACTTATCACTGGCGTCGGTTGATTAGTCGAATTTGGCGCGGCTGTTAACAAGTTTGACTGTGGTGATTTGATCACAACAGATGTTGTTGTTGTTGTCGTTAATGTTTCATTTGGTTCTAATTTAATTTTTGATAATTGTTTTAACGATTTAGTTGATTTTTGATGATCTTCTTCTTGAGAATGATCTGACTGAGAAGATAGAATACTACCGGGTTCACCACCATGTAGTCCATGTTTATTGATCATATGTAAATGTAAAAAATCATTGTTCTGAAATTTTTTTCCACATAAATGACATGTGGAAATGTTTTTGTTTGTATTTGAATCAAGTGATTCACGAGAATATTTGTTCGTAGCTGAAGTTGTAGAAGATGTATTAGTACCATTTGTAGTAGATGTGGTTATCGTATCAGGCGTTGCTGTTGATGCAAGTAATTGACTAGCGAATGCATTGGCAACATCAGATGCAACTGTTAGATATTGTGCTGCTTCGAGAACATTCGATGAGTGTGTACTGGTTGTAGATGTAGAAGTTTGATCACGTTTTAATGATGAAAAATTTGATGGAAGTTGAGGAAGGAGAGGAGAAAATATTGGGTTTAATAATAAACCAAGACTTTGCTGTATAGAAGCTAAAAGAAAATAAATAAATTATCCTAATATAAAAATGTAATTGAAACATTAGAATAAAATGAAAAAAAATTCATAGACCACAGCAGCAGCGTCACTTCAAAGTTGTTTCCTCATAGCCCCAAAAGTAGTTTCACAGTGACACTATCCACGTTAGTTCGTGTTAACTGTGGCTCCTTGAAACTATCAGGAGATTATTTCTTCTAATACAAAAGTATTTTTATCAGACTTTCTAAACAACAATATCTACTCTCAGCACTCACTATTAAACGGAACATTTGTGAATGTTTGAGGTGTCACTGGAATATTAGCTGAGATAATAGATGTATTCGATTGAGCTGAGGTTGAAGACAACGAAGATGAAGGCTGTGTTTGTGATGTATTTTGCAATTGTTGCTGTTGTGGATTTTTCGCTGAATTATCAATACGCTTATATGGTTTAATATTGCAATCTGTATAAACACCATGAACATCCAATTTATGTTTCTAAAAAAGAAATGAAGCCCATGAGAGTTTCGTACAAGTTACTATAAATGTAAATTATTATATAAACGGTCAATTACTCAGTATTTCAATAATAAAAAAATTCTTTCCCTCTGCGCTAATTATTTAAAAATGTAGACACAATAGTTCATAAATGATGAAAAGTGTAACGTACCCTTAAATAATATTTATTGCAGAAATGCTTTTGACACAGATCACAAAAGTCTTCCGGTAGTTTTGCTGATGATTTCGATGTGGGTGTGGTTGTAGTTATGCTTGCGTTAAATTGAGTTCCACTATTTCCACTTTTCGTACCACCTAATGAGCATGTTGAATTCGTTTCATCATCTAAACCATGGCTAGGCATATCATCAACATTTTCCATTTCATTTCCAACAATTAATCCTTCGTCTTCGTCAATGATCATGGAAGAGGGTGACGAGAGACGATGCTGACTACTAAGATCATTAAGATCATTTAAATCATTTGCATTTAAAATTGTTGATATGGCTGTCAACGAATTAGGTGGAGAATCATTTAAAGTTGTGGCAGTAGTTGTTGCAGTAGGAGATGGTGTTTGATCAAATATTCCATGTTTATTCGCCAAATGTGTTTTTAAAAAATATTTATTACAAAATTCCTACGTGAAAAAATATCAAGTTAAAGATGAGAAAGTATTGGGCAAGTATCAATAACAAATCCAGGTGAATTTGTCTTACCTTTCTACAAATTGCACAAAACGCATCAGCATGAAATATTTTTTTTGGTTCATGTTGTTGACGTTTTACTCCATTGGTTATCATGTTGTTATTTATCAATTTTATTTGTGAATGTTGAGTATGATGATTTGTTTTAAACACTTTTGGATTTGTATTTATATTTCCATGTATAGTTCTTGCTAGAGAAGAACCATTGCTTGTTTTTTCTTTTAAACTAAAATCGAGCACTTCTTCCTCATCATCATTATTGTTATTTTTTGGAGCTGAGCTAGATGATGAAAGATTTTTCTCTTGTTTTTCACCATTCATATCTGTTGTATTTCGCCTTTGACGTTGATGTTTCCCTGATGTACGATTAATTATATCTTCCATTGCATAATGTTCTTCAGGCATGTATGACGATGGTGATCGAGATGTGTCACATGAACCATCTTCACAGTTTAAACTAATTCGATCACATGTATCACATTCTTCTTCTTCTTCTTCTTCTTCTTCTTCTTCTTCTTCATCATTTTCAATCATACTTGCCGCTACATGATACAAGGTGTGATATCCACTTGACTCATTTTCAGATGTAGTTGCTTTTAATGTGGGTGATTCAGATTCAGCCTCCATTGATTTTGGACTCGTCGGATCGGTTTGATCCGATGGAGTTGTCGTATTCGTTGTTGATGGAAATGCATCGCCACGATCATTGGCAGCTAATCTAAACATAGAGAAAGAAAAATAAGATTAATAACAAGTTGCTTGTTTGACAACTTTTCGAGCATATTAACTGTTGTAGAAACTACAATGTCTTATCATATTGATTTTGCACATTATTCTATATATGATATCGCTTTCTTACCAATAAGAAAAAATAACAACTTCTCCTATCTCTTGTACTAAATTCCAGATTTATCCATTTGTTTTCCTTTTGTTTTGTAACTTTTTGACGTCTACTCATAGTCTTATTCATATTTCATTAATTTTAAGTGTTTTTTTTCTCTTTTTCTCCTATTAAAAAGATCTCTGTTCGATTAATTGAACAAAGAAAGGCGAACGAGCGCGTCAAAATTTTATTTATTTTTTATTAGATCGTTTTCAATATTTATTATGCTCCAGAACAAAAAACTAATTTATCACATTTACTATGGGATGATGTCAGATGTCTATAGTTTAAAACTTGAGTAAAAGGTTAATGCCTATACAACAACTACTTAGACAAAAGAAAAAGGAAAAAAAAAAAAATTTTTTTTTTTTCAACTGATCAGACAAATATATTCCCACAAGTCACAAACATTTGAAATGCTTTAGAGATTAGAGTCGTAAGGCTCACTAATGATATTAGTTTTTCTTTAACCTTCAATAAATTAACATAGCAATACATATGTAGTAATAGCTGCCGAAGCAAATAAAAGTGACAAATATGGATTATTTTCATAGTGGTATGCACGTTTTAAGATACAAAGTAAATCATTCCACTGTAACATCAACAAAATTTTTTCGTAAAATTTTTTGTATTCGCTTCAATAAAATTCTTTTAGAAGAAAATGTGTGTAGGGATGGCCCTCTCTTCCACAGTCACATATTTTAGAAGAGTATTGTTAGAGTTTTATATTCTGTTTTGGTTTTTTTTAGTTTTTTTTGTATTTAAATGAGTTTTTCTCTGTGTGATGCATCCCTTCATCTATCTATTTGTCGTCAATCATTTACTTCGTTTTTTATGAGATATGCATTTTTTATTTTTAGTTTAAATATTCACAATCGTTGATGAGTTTCGTTTCCGTTTTTTGTTCAATCTGTCAGAGACGTTGCAACCAACATCCTCTTCTCTATTTTTTTTTTTATATTCCTTTTTTACATTAATTTTTTTCACTTTATTCACCACTCCCAGTACAACGTTATCTTTTTACGATGGGGAAAAAAAAAAGGAGGCACTCGATGAGCACAAAAAAATTTTTTTTTTTTTTTTTTATTCGATCTGTTAAAATTTTACGAGAAGAACTATTATCACCATCATTCACTAAACAAATAGACTATCTAAAGTGAACATCTTCTATATTACAGTCTGAATTGTTAATTTTTCTTTTTGTCGTATTCTCAAAAAGCAGCTATTGTAATTTTAGAAATGAGAAATGTACAGAGATGCAAGTGCAACATAAAAATGAGATAGAAAAATAAAAAGGCATTTTAAAGAATTAAGAAATAATTTAGAAAACATACAGAGATATTAAAATTTAGAATGATCGATTATATACTATTAAAAATTGATCATCATATTTCATATATATAACATATGAAAAATAGTTTAGAAATTATCATATTTCTTCAATTTATAGTATCGTTTAGGTTAAATTCGAAAAATTATGAATCTAAAATGATATGAATCTAAAATCAACCAATGATTTGTTAAAAAAAAGAAAATCTGTGTTCAGTTCAAAGATTTATCATTGCCGAGACTTGAAGAAGAAAAAAAAAACTATTTTTTATGTTAGCAAAAACTTTCCTCTAATTAACTCTTTCAGTATTATACTATTCGGGTTTTTTTTATTTATTTTTTCCTTAAACACTCAATCTGACTCTTATTTCGTACAAATATTTCCTTGTATGTATTACAATCTATGAACTTAACATTTCAATGTATCTCTTTTTGCTTCATTATGCATTTTTTCTAAAATATCTATAATTCTTTTTTTTCATGCAAAACACGTTCTTTTTACTAGAAAATATTTTGATATCAAAACTAAGATGATATATCGATATCTGTGCAAAAAAATGGCATCGAATAATGTATAAAAAATTAAGTTTTTCAACAATAAAAAAAAGTTTTATTCAAAAATTTTCGATGATGTTTGCCAAAAATACTATCTTTTTTTTTTTGTCTTATAAAAAAGATATTCTGATCACTAAGGCAAAAAAATACGTTTTATTAGGACGAAAATATGACATGTTCGCATAATATGGAAAAAAGTGTCTCCTATAGATAGAAGAATTGATTTTAGGTTTAGTTTTATAGAGAAACAGATCCCTGAATTCAATAGGAAGAAGTTGTACTTTTGACTACAGATTTTTTTACATTTTTTTTTTTTTTTTTATTATTAAATTCGCGCTCTATCATATATGTTTTACGTGTTTCTCTTTCATTTTTCTCAACTTGACATTGTTTCTATTCTCTCTCTTTTCTTCAATTATTAGAGAAAAAAAAAAAGTGGTAATAAAATCAACTTTAAATTTGTATTTTGCATTTATTGATTTTTTTTCAAGTGGGAGACGTTATGCTCTTAAGTTTCTCTCCACATCATTTTCCTTTTAATATTTCTCTTTTTTTAGATCATATTGACTAACAAGGCAATAGGCAGCTACAGATAAACGAGGCTAAATCAACAGTTATATATTCTTGAATATAAAAAATATTTCATAAATATTATTCAAAAATGCATAGTTTTGAACGAGATCACGTTTAGTTTTGTTGCATCCAAATGATTTTAAAAAGAGAGTCATTTTTCAATATAATTCTTCTCTATCTATTTAAATTACATTGTATAAGTGTCGTAATGCGTCCACTTTTCTTCTTCTATTTCTCTAAGTCAATGTCCAAAAGTTCGAGCAACATTGACTTGTGTGTAAATTAGTAGTATTCATAGTGGAAACAATTTGACTTAAAGCAATTTTTCTATTTCTCATGAAAAAAAAAAAAATTGCAGTAAAATTTTACGACGATAAGACAAGACATGAAACAGCCACTCCATTCAGTCTCTTCTATTTTCAATAATTGTTTTATTAAATTAGAAAAAAGCTAACTTTTTCTGTTTCTAACAAAAAACTAGAGCCATATGTGACAAAAATTACATTTTGAATAAGTTTTATATATGAATGTCACCTCTGTATTAAAATTAAACCAAAGTTTAGAATAAATGACACGTATCATTGATAAAAAGAAAAAAAATGATTCTACAGGATTATAGTTTTTTGGTGTATTTTTCAAAGTTTGATGGAACGAATCCGACACAAAGAAACAAGAAAATAATTTAGAATTAAGAGAAATTCGTTAATAAATGAAAATGACACACTTCCGCATAAATTTTTCTATTTCATTAAAAATTAAGAATTTCTACCTTCTTTTTCTTCCAATGAACTTAACAGAGCAATGAATAGTATATCAACAAATACTGTTGGAGAATGCCTCAGACGTTTTATTTCATCAACATCATTAAAAAAGTTATTTATTTTGACGGCACAGTGCTCGAGAGAGAGAGAGAGAGCCATTCTTTCTAAAGTGTAAAATTAACTAAACAATATCTAAGAGTGTAGACGAACGCTTAGTAGAAATCTCTCTTGTTGATGATAAACATAAAATAGTATCAAAAGTTTCATTTTTTTATTCGTACCTAGAAAATGTGAAGTAGAAATTTAAACTGACCTGTTTGGTTTACTTTGTTTTCGTCTATTTGAATTTTTATTATTGTATAATGTTAAATTTCTTGAATTTTCATGTTGATCTGAACTTGAACATATGTCATCAACATTGTTGTTAGTTACTGAATCACCATTACTCAATGAATTTAGATTCGGTGGTGCGGATATAGGTGATATTGGATCTTGTTCATGTACTGTTGTTGAAAGTGTTATGGTATTGTTATTATTATCGTCGTTATTATCCATTTAGAGAAGTTTGAGAGAGAGAGAGAGAGAGAAAAAAAAAATACTGATTTTAGATCAAATTTTTAAAGTTTTTGAGAACACATAATGGTGCCATCGATATAGGATACCTTTTTTTGATCTAAAACAAGAAAAATTAATTAAATTTATGTTTTATAAAGAATAGTATATGATTATCTAGAAGTAGAACTCTATATAAACGAATTTTTTTTGTATGTTTCATTCGATCTTGTCATATCCAAGAAGTCTAATTAGATTTGATCTATAATAGTGAATATATATATATATATATCTATCTACGTATGTTCACTTATAACAATCATGTGCTCTATTTCTAAATACAGAAAAAAAAAAAAAACTTCACGACACAAACAGATAAATAAATGAAAAAATTATAGACATAGTGTCCATAGATATAACAGATTTTTCATGCGCGCACATCTTAAACACATCTTTATATCCCTCTTTATTTTATTTCTTTCTCTCTGAACAAAACAAAAAAAAAAAAAAAAACTTTCTTTTTGTTTTAAAAATTCCATTTGTAGTTATCTAACAGAACCATATGACTGAAAGAAATAAAATCGTATACGATTAGATCGAATAAAGAGAACATAAAATAAGTCAAATGATCATCACCTTCTGAAAAACATTTAACTAATATTTCATGTCTATCTTATTCTATTAATAAAAATATGAATAACTCTTTCAAAATCTTAATCAATTTTATATCATTAGAAAAAAGTGGTAAGAATTAAATCAACATGTTAGAAAAGGACTTCAATGTTATTCGTCTGGAAATCTCTCATCAAACATGTGACCGTATAAAAGAGTAAACATTATTTTCTTTAGACTTTTCAGACAGACAGAAAAGATAAAAGACAACAAGGCTTTTTGCATATTCGAACGTAAATTCACCAATGAAGGATTTTCAAAGTATTGATAATTTAGAATAAAAGAGTAAACATTACCATAAAAGCTTACCATTAAAGATTAACGAAATAGTTTTAATTATTAGTAGTAAGTGAAAATTTTTCTAAAATTTTTCTAAAAGATCAAAATTTTGATGATCGAAGATCTATTTACCCAATGTATAAAGGACACTCAACGTTTCTTAGAGGTAAAAAACGAATATGAAACATGTGTTAGCTAAAAAAAAGAACGTCTAATGTTAAGTTTTACTATTAAATAAAAGTAATAAAAACAAAATATTAATGGGAAAATCGCTTACTTTAAGTGGATTAAAAAAGTATGTAATTAAAGGTATTAATCGATTTGTTGTTTTTATTTCGTTATTTATACTTTTTGTACGGTTGGGGATCACACTCTTTTTTTACAGTTATTGTTATAGATGGAAAAATTTTGGTTACATTGTATGAAAGCAAAAGAAAATAGTTTTTTTTTGTTTTTTTTGTATCTTTTAACTCATACATACGTATACAGCTAGTTGCGCTTGAATGATTTTTACCTTTTTGAAAAAAATTTTTTTTTTTAAATTGACTACAATTATAGGTGTAATATATCTGTATCTTCTATAACGAAACGGCAAAAAAAAAAAAAAAAGTTTTTTTTGTCCCTCTATGTCATATTTTTTTAAATAGAATAACATCACATGAAAAAAAAACTGAAGGAGAATATAAAACGTTGACTAGCTACAGACAAAAATTTTTTTTCCTCTTTTTTTTTTTTTTTTTTCTCTTTTGTGCAAAATGGAAATTTTCAACTTTTTTTTTTTTCGATTCATATCACTATCACCACCGATACTACTAAATCGAACGATCGATTTTTTTTTCTTCTTTCTTTTCTCTCTGTTCAGTAGCATCATCGGAAAAGTCTATTCTGCAAATGAATGTATTATCTCTTGAAAGTAAAATTTTTCTTTAGTAGTATTAATAAATGATTCTGAAAGAAAAATGAGAAAAAATATCAAATTTATGAAGAATTGATGATATCAATGTTTTATTATTATTCACAGATATTAAAATCAATATAGTTCGTTTTGAATGTAACTCTAGTCTTTGAAATCAAATGAGACATTTATCACAATAAAACGTAAAATATTTAATTTTCAATTAATTTTTACAGACATTCTAGAAAGAAATCATCAGATTATGGAAGACAGATGATTTTTAAGACAAAAATAAAACGAAATTAGATTGAAAACTCTAAATTGATCAGAGAAAAGACAAAATAAAAATATCGTATCTAGTGTTGAAACAGTGGAAAAGATATTCGCTAGTGAGAACGATCGTACGATTGTTTATCAAAATAGATTTTCTAACAATTTGTTCATAGTTCATGTGTATTGCAGTTTAGTTTAAAACATTTCGTTTTTGCTGATATCAATTATGCTAGATACAGAAAGTTCAATATTGTAATTTTCAGAATAGATTTTTTCTATTTGATTGAACTCTAACGGTTTTTTTCTTTTTATCGTTTATTTTGACATATTGCTTGTGTGACCTATTCACATAAACAAATGAGGATACGGAATCTGATTTTGAAAATAGAACGAATATATACATACACACAGACATATGATTTTGATGATAATAATGATGAGTAGTCTGCTGTAGATAGAACAAGATGAGAGAAATTTATTATCTTAGAAAAGTATGTTATTGTTATAGTAAAATAAAAATTCTTCTTTCCTTTTTATATCTATCATTTCCTTAATTCAATGATATACTGCTGTTAGTGCTGTTGGTCAAATAATATTAAATAAAATACAAAAAAAACAAATCATATTAAAAATTTATCTTATAGAAATATTTATAACAATTTTACAAACATTTTGGCGAAAAACGAATACCCACACATACACACATTTTCCTTGTCTAATATCAGAAATATTTTAATTTCTTATACAAAATTATTTGTTCTGAGAAGATTTAGTATGCAATGTGTTAAAAATCTATTTTTTCAAATCACTAGATCAAAAATAAACTACGATTGTAATATAACAATTAAATAATATAAATGAAATGACCATCATCCCAGAAACTAGAACATATTAGTAACGTTACATATATGTATATTTGAAAAAACTAAATGATTAAATAATAGGAGACTTATATCTCACTTTATTGGATAAACAGTGTATAAAAGAAATCTCTAAATATGACGGTTATGAAAAATGTTTTTGTTCTGTGAAAAATACATACTATGAAAATAGTTCAAGATCACTGTTGACAATCGAGATTATCTAAACTATAGTACACTCTATTTGACCATTCGCACATGTTTATAGATTAAAAAAGGTCTCTGGAGATCACACAAGAATTTCAAATTCAAGATACATCTTTTAATCTTTTTCTTTACTTACCCTAGAATATCTTCCATATGTGTTCCTGCGTAAATGAAGTCCTTTTATTTTTTTTTTTGTTCTTGTGTGTGTTCTCAGATTAATTTTGTTACACGCATATATAAAGTCATTCCATTTTTTTAAACTTTAACTCGTTCTTTTTTTCATTTTTTGTTTTTTAGATTAAAGATACATCTCTTCTCTCTCCCTCTCTCTCGCTCTCTCTCTTGTGAGTTGTCGCGTCTTTATCTTTTATTTTTTTTTTGTCGGTTTTTATATTTAAAAAAAAATGGAATGGTTTCTTTTAAGAGTTTGTCATACACATACAAAGAAGAACTGAAGAACAGCTACGAGTTTTTGAATAAAGTTATAAAAAAAATAAAAATCCGGCGGATGTTAATTCGATGTGCAAGAGCAGGACTAGTAAAATATGCAAAAAAGAGACAACTTACACACAAATGTATATATATATATATATATATATATATATATACGTTGTAATTAGAGACCATTTAAGTGATGAATTTTGATGATAGAGAGAGAACATTTTATTATTGAACATAGAAAAAAACAGCAGAAGAAGAAATATCTCTATTTGTTCTTCTAATACGCGTTTCTCTCTCTCTATTTACATTCGTGCGACGAATAGTAGATAGAGTATGTTATTGAGGTTTTTGAAGAAAATCTTTTAATTTTAGTATATAAAAAACAAATTCTTTTAAAATTCATAAAAATTTTATGAATGTATAGTCAAATGTTCATTTATTCATTATTTATTTATAAATTTACATTTATACATAGTAGTAATGAATAATAAAACAAAAAAAATGATAATGAACAAATTTATCCTGCCAGACAAACTCTATAGGAAAACGTCGACTTATTGTGATTACTAGCGCAGGTAACAAGACAGAATCCATATAGAATTGAAAGTTTAAAAAATTATCATTATAGATCGAACAAGATTTTGATATATAATTTCTTACTACGACAAGTATTAAAAATAAAATTTAATAATACAATGTCGTAAAACGCATATGTGATGATACTACTTACCCATTAAAAATTGTATACTCATAAAATGAAACAAATTTGGATAGTAAATTCTCGAGAGTGTAATAGAATATATTATTTACGTTAAGATTTTTTTGTATTTTTTTTGACTTAGTCCGTTATCATTTGTAAATGTATAAAGAATAAACGCACATACTCATTCTTGCGTACACTCTCTTTTTCTCTCTACGCTCTAATATCTCCTAGATCGAAAGCAGTCAAAAGAAAAAAAAAAAAATTGTTTTATTTTTACATATAATCGTACACCCCCATCCTTCTACAAAATTTTCCTAAACAAAACATTCTGTCTTCTTTCTAGATATATGTATACATATGTACAAGATACAGAATTGGTAGAATTTAGTCGGTTATTATTCGATTTTTTTTTTCTCGTTTTGTCTCCCTTTTTACTCTACTTTAACTTCTTTTTCGTAGAAGAATTTCCTTTTCCTTTAGTTAGTTATTCCATATACATGTGAAATAATATTTCGAAGAAAAAAAAACAAAAAAACTTTTGTTTGTGATATCGTTCAGTTCTCTTTTTCCTAATATTGTACAGTTTTTCTGTATCTCAACTTTTTCTCTTTCCTTTGATATTTTAGGGCTAAAAGAATAGAAAAAAAACTAAAGTTTGTTGTATATTTTCTTC